AGGTGTGCACATGTGTACTCACAAATGTCTGTGTGCCTGAGTATGCATGTAAGTGTGTGTGTGCACATATGTGTATTGCTCATTGAGGTTTGGGGTTTTTTTTTTTTTTTTGGCCAGTTGTGGAGCTTGAACTCAGGGCCTGGTCACTGTCCCTGAGCTCTTTAGCGCGAGGCTAGTGCTCTGCTACTTTGAGTCACAACTCCACTTCCAGTTCTTGTTTATTTTTTTTTGGTCAGTCATGGGTCTTGAATTCTGGGCCTAGGTGCTGTCCCTCAGCTCTTCAGCTCAAGGCGAGTGCTCTATCATTTTAGCCACAGTGCCACTTCCAGTTTTCTGGTGGTTTACTAGAGATAAAAAAATCTCATGGATTTTCCTGCCCGGGCTGGCTTTGAACTGTGATCCTCAGATCTCAGCCTCCTGAGTAGCTAGGACAGGTGCAAGCCACCAGAGCCCAGCTCACTTCCAGTTTTTGAATAGTTAATTAGATGAGTCTCATGGGGATTTTCCTGCCTGGGCTGGCTTTGAACCATGATCCTCAGATCTCAGCCTCCTTGGTAGCTAGGATTATAGGTGTGAGCCACTGACACAGGTGTGAGCCACTGACACAGGTGTGAGCCACTGACACCTGGCTTTTGTCCCTTAACTTTTTCATTCAAGACTGGCACTCTACCACGTGAGCTACAACTCCACTTCCAGCTTTTTGCTGGTTAATTGAAGCTAGGCGTCTCATGGACTTTTCTGCCCAGACTGGCTTTGACCCTCGATCCTCAGATCTTAGCTGAATAGCTAGGGTTACAGGCATGAGCCACCGGTGCCTGGCCTTATTCACTGTTGATTGCATATGCATGCCTTGTGTATATGCGGGAATCTGCGCATGAGCATGTGTGTGTGCATGCCTATGCCTCGTTCCTGTGCATGCGCCAGTGGGCATTGGAGGTGGGTGGGGACAGCACTCAGCCTGGTCTGGGGAGCAGGGCTGCTCCTCCAGGACTGAGCCCCTCATGCCCTGCAGGTACTTTAACTGCAGCTCTCCTGCAGTGCAGGCCTGCAGCGTGCCCACCTCCTGCTGCATCAACCCCTGGGAAGGAAGAGACTTGGTGAACACTCAGTGTGGCTTCGGGGCCTTGCGTCTGGACGAGGACAAGGCTGCACAAGTCGTGTACCTGCAGGGCTGCAGGCCCACGCTGCGACGGTGGCTGCGAGACAACACCCAGACCGTGGCTGGCTGTGCCATCGCCGTCATCATGGTCCAGGGGGCCGAGCTCCTTTTGGCCACCTGGCTACTGAGGGGCCTTGCTGCCCTCAAGGTGGCGGTGGACACCCAGGCCTTCATGAGCCATCGGTGCTGCCTTCCTCAGCAGGACAAGTGTCAGAAAAACCAGCCATGAAACACACCCTGGGCCACCTCTCCTGCAACACCACAGCCTCCTCCTCAACCGACCCTCCAGGACTAGAGCCAACTCTGCAGTGCCATTCCATCTTTTCTGTCGGTCACAGGTCTTGAACTCTGGGCCTGGGCGCTGTCCCTTGGCTCTCTAGCTCACGACTAGCGATCTACTTCTTGAACCACAGTGCCACTTCCAGTTTTCTGGTGGCTTATTGGAGATAAAGAGACTCACGGACTTTCCTGCTAGGCTGGCTTCGAACCTGGATCCTCAGATCCCCTGAGTAGCTAGAATTACAGGTGTGAGCCCCCAGTGCCTCGTGCCATTTGATCTTACTATGGGTTTCCAAGGACCCACCTGAGTTTCTGTTGCTCCTTGCAAAGGCCACTATGGTCTGTGTCTGGCCATGTCTGCTTCCCGTTGGACACCATGGGACCGGGGTTGCCTCTGACCTCACCTCCCACTGTGGCTCCAACCACCTCTGCCTGGTCCCCACCTGACCCTCCCCTCCACTGGGGCCACTCCTCCTTCCGGAGGCTTGGTGGAATGGGGGATAAGGCCCCAACCTCCCCCTCCAGAAAGTGATTTTTTTCTTGGGAAGAGCAGGTTGTTCATTAGAATTCACTACCATTCCTACAGCAAACTGTAGGTGGCAAGTGGGGGGGAGGCCAGTCCTGCTCTGCCCTCACTTTCAGGGTTAGCCCGGCCCGTCCGTGAGATCTGACCCTGCAGGATGGCAGAGGGCCTTCCAAGAGCCACTCTGGTTATTCCTGGGGGCCAACTACACAGGCGGCTCTGCCCAGCCGAGGGAGCAGTCAGTGTTCGTGCTTCTGGAGAGCCTGCCGGGTGTGAGCTGCAGGCCTTGTTCCAGACTGGATCAGGTAGAAACTCCCACTCACACGGTACACACCTAACACCTGCGGGCACTGTCTCAGGAGGGGCCAACAGGTAGGTGATATTATGGGCTACTCATGGGGTGTCTGAGCACCCCTTTCACAGTGTGTGCTGCTCTTAGGCCTTGACCACTCCCACCTCCCCGGGAAGTTCTGCTCTGGCCACCTGCACGCTTGCTGTACTGACTGTGGCCACCAGGAGGGGGTGAGAGAGATCCTATGAACGCAGGGCCTCTAGGCCAAGGTTTGGGAAGGTGCCGTCCAGTCGAAGAGACCCTCTTCCCTTCACCCAGGCCCCCTACCAAACACTCCAGGTGACCAACGACATGCTAGCTTTCTTTTCTTTTTTTTTTTTTTTTTTGCTTATGTGGTGCTGAGGAATCGAACCCAGGGCCTCATGCATACAAGGCAAGCTCTCTACCGCTAAGCCATCTTCCCAGCCCTAGCTTTATTTTCAAGCAGGAAAAACAAGGGTGAGGCATGTTGGGAAGGCCAGTGTGATTGGTGGGAATGAAGGACCTCCAGGACTGCCAACACAGCCCGTGACCTCCCCAGGACAGCCAGTGGGAAGGGCAGAACAGGAGCTGGGGTGTGAGGGGCACCCCTGTGGGACCTGTCCTGTGGTGGGTCGCTGTCTAGAAGAGCAGAAGGGTATCCTGGGGGCAGCTGTAGGCATCCTAATACTGGTATCCAGGGCCTCAGGCCTTCACAGCTGGAGGCCAAATGGGACCCAGTCTGTGCACCGTCCCCCCTCACCCCCCGAGACGCTGAGCGGGCTCACAGCGGCAGCAGGGAGGGTCAGGGCTGGCTCTCAGCAGGGTACGGTTAGATGATGCCATACTGGGCCAGCTCGTGCAGCTCCAGGTGGTTGAAGGCCTCCCAGGGGCAGATGACCGTAATGTCTGCAGGAAAGGGCATGATCGTGAGAATCCCACAGCTTGCGGGCCACCCTATCCCGTCTCCCTGCTTTCCAAACCTCAAGTAGGGACCAGTGATTTGCCCAGGATGAGATGCAGACCCTGGATTCTGCTCTCGGGACACACTAGCTTTTGGGGAATATGGTCTGGGCCCAGCCCCAGAGGAGAAAGGGTAGCAGGTATGGACCCCAAAGTAGACTCAAGAATGAACCTAAGGGTGTACCCAAGAGGGGCTCAAAGATAGACCTAAGGGTGGACCCAAGGGTGGGCCCATGGATAGACCCTAGGGTGGGCCCATGGATGGACCCTAGGGTGGGCCCATGGATAGACCCTAGGGTGGTGGGCCCATGGATGGACCCTAGGGTGGGCCCATGGATAGACCCTAGGGTGGGCCCATGGATGGACCCTAGGGTGGGCCCATGGATGGACCCTAGGGTGGGCCCATGGATGGACCCTAGGGTGGGCCATGGATGGACCCTAGCGTGGACCTTCAGAAGGACTCTGCCAAAGGGCCATGGGAACAGGAAGACAAGGCTACTTCCCCCAGGCTCACATGCTATGCCATGGGAGTGTCAGTCGCATGATGCAGATGAGGGAGGCAGATCAAGGGGACCCCAAGCAATAAGCGGGATCCTGAGAGCGGAGCCAGGCCTAAGGCAGCCCTGCAGAGGGCACTACCCACGGTCATACCTGTGCCCAGACCTTCCATTCCAGGGATGTCATCCCCAAACCTGCAAGGACAGAGTGGTTAGGACCAGATCCTCCGGCTGTCCAGAGCAGAGGCGGGGCCAGGGCAGAGGCGGGCCCAGGGCAGAGGCGGGGCCAGGGCAGAGGCGGGCCCAGGGCAGAGGCGGGCCCAGGGCAGAGGCGGGGCCAGGGCAGAGGCGGGGCCAGGGCAGAGGCGGCCCTCCCCCAGTCCCCTGATGGCTGGCAGGGCCTGAGGGGTTCCTTCCATCAACACAGAGTGAGGTTCTTGCCCAGAGATGCATCATGGGCTACGGCCCAGCAAAGGGTCAGGTGCCTGGGGCCACGCATGCCTATGCAGGAGCGCAGTATGGGCACACGGGGGGAGGGGATGTCGGGGTGCCTTCTGCGGTCTGGGTGTGGCGTGTCCTGTGTTGGAGGCGTGGTCCCCAGTGCAACAGTTTTGAGCTGTGGTAGATCTTTAAGAGGTGCCTAGTGGGCAGTGATTAGCTCCTGAGGCAGGTTAGTAGGTATTAAAGGGGTTCTCACAGGACTCGGTTATAGTTCTACAGAGTGGGCGCCGGCCTTCCGCCTGCCCTCGGGCTTCCTCGCTCCATGCACCATCCGTCTCTCTCCCAGGTTCACAGGCTAGATGATGCCCCTGCTAAGCTGATGGTGCCCTTCGCAGAAGCCCAAACAGTGATTCAAGACACCCTGAATTTTAATTTTCAGCCTCCAAAGCTGTGCACTAAACCTTTGTTTTTCTTTTTTCTGTTTTTTTTTTAACTGTATTTTTTTTTGTCTTTTCTTTTTTGGTACTGGGGATCGAACCCAGGACGTTGCACTTGCTAGGCAAGCGCTTTGCCACTGAGCTACATCCCAGCCCTGTTTTTTTTTTTTTTTGTCAGCCAGGGGGCTTGAACTCTGGGCTTGGGCACTGTCCCTCAGCTCTTTAGCTCAAGGCGAGTGCTCTACCACTTGAGCCACAGCATCTCTTCTGGTTCTTGGGTGGTTAATTGGAGTTAAGAGTCTCACAACATTCCTTCCCGGGCTGGCTTTGAACCATGATCCTCAGATCTCAGCCTCCTGTGTAGCTAGGATTACAAATGTGAGACACTGGCACCAGGTACTAAACCTTTTTTCTTTGGTGGTCCTGGGGTTTGAACTCAGGGCCTTGTGGTTGCTAGACAGATGTTGTACCACTTGACCCACACCCTAGCCTTAAATCAACCTTTTCTGTATAAAGAATCCAGCCCCCATTGTTTTGCCGTACCACATAAAGCAGACTGTGGCAGCAGCTGTAGGTGTGCGCTGTTTTGAGTATGTACACAGGTGACCGTGGTGAGGTCTTGGTGTGGAAGCACACTCCCTGGAGAGAGGCGGGGGCCTGCTTCCCACACCTGTTCAGCCATAGCACCTGCAGTGCTGCTCAGGCCTCAGGACTGCCTGCCTCCATTATAAGAAAGCTGTCCAAGCCCTCCGCTGGGGGAGGGGGGGGAAATGCGTGCTCCTCTTTCGGAGGCTCCCTTCACTCTGCTTACCCTTGGACGCCCTTCTTGGGAGGCTTGCTCTTGAACTGCCTGGTTTGCCGCTGCTTAAATTTGGGTGGCCCCTTCCTTGGGGTGACTGGTCCCCCTATCACCCTGGTGGCTGACCGGATCTCCGCCTTCGGAGGCTCGAGGCTCATGGTGAGGCCTGTAGACGGTGCAGTGACCCTGGGCTTCTGGAGGATCTCAAGTTGGGCTTCTATTCCTCATATACGCTAGAGGAAGAGGAGGCAGGTATTCCGGTCAGTTTTCCTGCTCTGCATCTCTACTCTGAACCTCAACCCAAGACCAGGATCAGCCCTGCCACCCGTCAGTCTAACCCAGGCAGCAGCTCCCGTCCCGAGGAGCCACTTCCTGACCGCTCCTTCCCTTGCCTGAGCCCCCAGAGGCCACTCCACCCCACGGCTGCCAGACACGCACAACTCAGACATGGAGTCCTTGGTCTCCCTTCCCCTGCCCAGGCCCACACACCCAGGCTACCCCAAGCCCATCCTCAGCCCTGAGACAGGTCCCAAGCCACGGGTTCTCGTCACCCACCCTGCAGGAAAGCCATGGAAGATCCTCCATGACTGCCCCCTCCACCCTCCTACAGACTGGAGTGGGATCCAACCGTATCACACTTCAAGAGATCTGGAGACTCCGGTGGGCCTGGCAGCCCTGCAGATCAGCTGCTGTAGTCTCTTGACTTTCCCTTCCTGACAGTCATCTCCGGACTGCCCTCAGTGCTCCGGGTGTCTTCTCCTAGTTCTGACCCCAGGATTTCTGTGTCTCCAGAGTCTGATTTGTTTCTTCATATCTTATACTAGCCCAACTTCCTCCTGCTAATGTGCTGCTGAGGCTGATGGTCCCTGTTTATACTTATCTGCTTGCTGCCCTGTCTATCAGGGGTTGAGAGGCAGGGATGATACCGGGGTGAGAGGTTCCTTTCAGGAAGGGGTCTGTCTCAGAACCATGTGCCTGCTGAGCCCTGTAACCTGCACCCTCCCATTCCCTTTCTCAAAGGGAGAAGCTGAGGCTCAGGGAGGGGAGGGAGGCTAGTGCTGTCCCGTGTTGGCTGGCAGGCAGCCCACTGGGCTGCGCTTGGGGCCTGTTCTGGTCAGCCTCACTCCGGGCTCTGGTGTGGCTGCTCAGGATCAGGCCACGTCCTTCCCCACACCACACAAAAACACCTTTCCTCCTGTCCCCAGAGGCTCTAAGCCCCAGTGACCTCGGCCAAGGGCAGCTCAGCTTCCTCTAAGCCTATTGCCAAAGGGAGAGTCCTAATCTCCCAGGCCTGCACAAGCCCTGCATGCTGGCAGAAGGTTCTGGGGCTACACATGGAAAACTGACAGGAGACGCTGCTGAGCTGCCCCTAGGACGGACATGAGCCTGAGAGAACCCAGGGTCAGGACCTGGGTGGCCGGCTGTTCCTCCCTTACTCTCCAGATGTGGAGCCCTGCTTCCCAGCCTCCTGTGGGAACCTCTGGCTCCTGACAGAGCTCCAACTACCCATGGCTGTCTTCATGGAAATGCTCCTTGACCACCCTGGCCTAACGGGTGCTTCTTGGTCAGCTGAGGTTCCCGGGCCATCACTGGCTTTGGGGACAGGGACACCACCATTTAACATGGAGGTCAGCAGAGGAGCCGAGAGGCAGGATAGCTTCTCTGAAGGACAGGCAACAGGTAAACTCCTAAAGACCCCGGAGTTCAGCAGCAGTAGTAGAAGGCTGTGAGCTCCCCACCAGCCCAGGCAAATGGGCAGGTGCCTCACTACCGGGAAAGGCAATGGGATAGGTCACTACTTACCAAGTGCTGGCTGGGTCTGGGAGCAGCAAATCCCAGTGTGCTGGAGCTGGCTCAGCAGGGCCGCATTTATCTGCTTCAGGTGATCGGATTAGGATGCCCCTGACAGCAACAAATGAGATTACTGGGCGCCCCAGGAGGACAACTAACAATTCTGGAAGGAGCCAGAAGGGGCGGGGTGTGGCCAGAGGCCTGAAGGGAGGATACCTTGAAGGTGGTCAAGGTGTGGGGGAAGCATGGTCCTGAACTGCCCCTGGATGGACTCTTCTAGAAGCCACCTGCCCATTTTGCAGCTGGCTCTGGCCGTGGCTTGGTCCTGCCTTCCCCACCACTGAAGAAACTGTGCGGCCCAGGCCATCTCCAGTTATTCTTACTCTCTTTTCACCCCTGCTTCTTCTCTGACCCTCAGGATTCTGTACCTGTTCCCCTGGGTGCTACATTTCCTGGGCCTGTGCCCCCTTCCTCCCTCCCTCCCTCTGGGCCTCCAGAGCTCTGCCCAGTGTCCCTTCTTAGGTCCCCAGAGACCAGGGTGCTAACTTCAGCTGTGAGTTTCCTTCCCACTTACCACATACGTGTATTTGGCTCATTCTTGGGTTCAGCTTTGTTTACTGAGGTGAAGGGGTGGGTTTGCACCTGTCATTGCTGTTACTGACAGATGCCTGGCAGGAGCCTGCAAACTAACGGGAAAAGGCAGGATCCTGCCTGGAGAGGTCTGACACTGTGTGCTCTCCCCGCCTTTGCCACAACTATGTAACTCCAGAGGAAGGCTAGCTTTGTAGGATTCAATGGTCAGGTTGTATGCAACGCGCATGCACACACACACACACACACACACACACACAATGGGGGGGAGGGAGAGGAGGAAGGGGAGCGAGCGCATAGGTCAGGACACTCTCACCCCTCATCCTCCATGTCCTTCTGAGGCTGCCAAGTTCACCAAGGTCCACCTCTAGGGAAATCATTCTCTTTCAGCGTTCTTTCTTTCTCTCCTTTTTTACTAGAGATTGAACTCTAAACATTTGAGCTAATCCATCAAGGCTGTTCCAGAAGGTGCTTGCTCAGTCCAGGGTCTAGCTTTTGTGGTTCCTATAATCTAGTTTATCTGGGCAAAGCCAGATAGCTCTGAGTGGTTTTTGTTGCTGTTTTGTCAGTCAAGGGCCTTGGACTCTTGGGCCTGGATGCTGTCCTTGAGCAATTTTGCTCAAGGCTAGCACTCTACCACTTTGAGCCTCACCACTTCCCATTTTTTTCAGAGGTTAATTGGAGATTAAGACTCCTACAGGGACTTTCCGGCCCAGACTGGCTTTGAACCGAAATCCTCAGATCTCAGTCTCCTGAGTAGCTAGGATGGCAGATGTGAGCCACCAGCACCTAGCCTCTCAGTGTTTTGGATGGCGTACATCCAATGTCCAAAACGCCAACCTGAATTAACCATGCCTCATAACCCACTAGTAAGGTACCCCACTTTTTAGTCCCACAAGTCAGTAACCAGATTCATGTGAAATGTCCTTATAAGAACTTGTTTGGGCCGGGCGCACTGGTGGCTCACGCCTGTAATCCTAGCTACTCAGGAGGCTGAGATCTGAGGATTGTGGTTCAAAGCCAGCCTGGGCAGGAGAGACCTTGAGACTCCTATCTCCAATAAACCACCAGAAAACCAGAAGTGGCGCTGTAGCTCAAGTGGTAGAGCGCTCGCCTTGAGCTGAAGAGCTGAGGGACAGCACTCAGGCCCAGAGTTCAAGCCCCACGACCGACCAAAAAAAAAAAAACTTGTTTGGGGGACTGGGAAGGTGGCTCAGTGGTAGAGTGCTTGCTTTGCATGCATTAGGCCCTGGGTTCGATTCCTCAGCACCACATAAAGCAGGAAAAGCCCCAAGTGGCGCTGTAGATCAAGTGGTAGAGCACTAGCTTCGAGCAGCTTCGAGCTGAAGAGCTGGGGGACAGGGCCCAGGCCCAGGCCGAGTTCAGGCCCACGAGCGAACCGGAAAAAAAAAAGAAAAGAAAAAAGAACTTGTTTGGCTGGGTGCCCGTGGCTCATGCCTGTAATCCTAACTACTCAGGAGGCTGAGATCTGAGAATCACGGTTCAAAGCAGCCCAGGCAGGAAAGTCCATGAAACTCTTATCTCTAATAAACCACCAGAAAACCGGAAGTGGCACTGTAGCTCAAGTACTAGAGCGCTGGCCTTGAGCTGAGGGGTTGAGGGAGAGCATTCAGGTCCAGAGTTCAAGCCCCATGGCGAACCAAAAAAAAAAAAAAAGAACTTGTTTTTCAGCTCAAATTCCTTGGGTAATCAATTAAAATCCAGCTTTTCCCTTACATGAAATTTGAAACTGTTGAAGGACTGGGCAGTAGTTGCTCAGGCCTGTAATCCTAGCTGCTCTGGGAGGAAAAGAACAGGAGACTCTTATCTCCAATTAATCTATGAGAATCCAGAAGTGGAGGTGTGGCTCTGGTGGTAGTGCCATCCTTAAATGAAAAGGCCAAGTGAGAGCACAAGGCCCTGAGTTCAAGCTCCAATGCCGGCACACACAAAACCATTTGCCAAGGGAGAAGTGAGGATGAAAAGTTGTACAGAATGAGGACGTGAGCAGTGAGAGCCCTCAGATCAAGTCCTCCTCTGGGCCACAGTACAGTAGCCAGGACCAGAGCTGCAGTCAAGACCCAGGCTGCTGATTCTGGTCCTTTTCCCCCCACTGCCTTAGGAGCCTTGGCCAAGTGAGTTAAAGACTGGTTCTGAGCAGTGCTTAGGTCCTTGTGGGCAGGCCGGAGGCCTCTAGCTGATGATAAAAAGGGTATCTCCCCACAAGCCCAGCAGGGGGCCAAGAGCCCTCCCCAGGGTGTCTTCAAGGGTTTTCCCACCTAGCTTCATAATGAGACAAGCTGGCTCTCTCAATCCTGCAGTCAGAGCCTAACCAGAGCTGCCTATCAGCAAGACTCCAGGGATGCTGGAGGGGCTGTCACCTGAACCCTTCAGGTAGATGGGGGCTGGTCAGCAGTTGACAAGGCCAAAAGGACAATACAAAAGCTTCCTATGTGGCCACCACAAGGAGTTCATTTATTCTCAGGTACTCAGTAAGGCAACTCTTTTGATTCCTAGATAACATAAGCCCAGAAAAGGGGTGTGACTCAAGAGGCTGCTGCTGCTTCCAGAACCAGAGCTGCCTGCTGGTGTCTGCGGTGAGGGTACTGGGGCAGGCTGACTCAGCCCCGACCCTGAGTGTGGAGCCGGATCTCCATCCTGAGGAAGGCCTTGAGGTTCTCATCAGCCACGTGCTCCTCCAGGTCCGCCAAGGCCCGTTCCCCACCGTCCTGGTAGTGGTGCAGCAGCGTCTCTGCATACGCTACCCACACACAGTTGGGACAGCCACTCATGCAGCAGTTTGTAGGAGGCTTGAGCTCTGGTGGTTCAGAGTATGAAGATCCTAATGGACCTCCACCGGGTGGGGAGACCTTGGGAGGATTCCTGGCACTGTCCGCACCTCCTTGGGACCCCCCTTCCACACGGTCCATCCCCAACTCTTTGTGGCCATCACCGGCTCCCACTCTGGCCAAGCACCTTGGAAGGACAATGCCTTTTCCAGAAAGCCTCCAGCAGTAGTCCCAGATCCAGCAAGCCCCCTGTGGAGGAAGAAAAACATAATTCTCCAGGAAGCCAGCAAGACCTAACACGCCCCCACCTCGAGGGGATGCTCAGCCTTCCTGTCACAGGACAGGTGGCTCCATGTCTTTCTCAGCTTCCATTAGACTCAGTTTCCCCGTTTGTAAAGTGGACATAACGGGAGGACAAAGTATGATTTGTGAGGATCGCTGAGTTCAGAGCCACATGCGGGGTGTGTGCTCCAGCAAGGGGACGGGGCCGGCCCCCAGGTCACAGGGTTTACTAGGTGTCCGGTGGTTGAAGGACGGGCCGGGGTGCAGGCTTGGCTACACTGGCTTCTCCCTGCACAACCAGCCCCAGCCCCCCGGCCTGCATCACCGTGTCCTTCCCACCCCGGGGCGCCTCTCGTTGGCCCTCGCTCGTTTGCGGACTCATGCAGGGCTCCTCACACCACGCGCCAGGCCTGAAGGCCTGGGTGGGCACGTGTGGGCGCGGGCCTGGGCGCTGGCATGGGCCTGGGCGCTGGCATGGGCACGGGCGCTGGCATGAGCGCGGGCACGGGCATGGGCACGGGCGCTGG